TAATACAACAATTCTATTATAACATATAACATATACAACTTATTGATGTATTCAAAATCATATAAATTAAAAAAATAAAACAAAGAAAGGCAAAATAAAGATATACTGCTATTCATTTTGCATGTACACTTTTACTTTAATAAAAATAATTAATCATTAATCAAATACATTAAACAAGACCGAAGGATAATAAAAAATTTGGACCCCAAGCCCAATTAAAAGCTGAACCCAATGGGCTAGAACTAACAACGGCCTTGAGCATTATAATTGAACCCTGGGCCCAAAATATTGATTCCGTAACCAGTCATGGCGTAAGCAGTCTCGGTCCCCATCCAAATATGAAGGCCCGATTATGAGAACCAGTCCCGGGCCTGGTTCTATGTAAAAAAAGTATAATTCGATTTTCTACGTAATCTTTTTTTAAGTTCATTTAAAGAGTGTTATTCTAATACACTTGAAAATATGTAATTGGGTCAATTAAGTACACTTACAAAATACTTTTTTTGCGAGAATTGTGAACGTTTGTGAATTGGTATCTTCCTCCAAATACCATATGGCTTATATATAGTGAATATAGGGTAAATGGGACAATTAAATACATTTACAAAATATGTTTTATTATAAATTTATAATTGGTTTTCAATAAAATATATTTAGAAAGTTAGAAATACATTTAAAAATAAATTGAAAATTAATTTTTTTTGGAAAAATCGGGCCAGACCCATTACCGGTCCTGGGCCGGGCCGGGCCGGATTGAACCTTCTTTTTTGATGAAAATCGTAACTGGTCTTTAACCGATGGTCCCAATCAGTAGCGGGCCAGACCGCTCCCAAGTCGGTCCCGATCCCGGTCCTCCGTAGGTCCCGAGTCGGGCCAGGCTCATTTGACTATCTCTAAATTAATGAATTGTAGTCATTCCAGACAGCCCTCAATACAAGGGCCAAACCGTTTAATTTTATAAATACAGAACATAATTATAATTATAAAGACTAATGACATGCATTATTAATTAAAATAATTCCTATCTGATGAAAAGTAAGGGAAAGTTTTATAATGTGTATATATACATAGAGAGAGAGATACACACATATAGATACATATACACATACACACACATACATACATATATATATATATATATATATATATATATATATATATATATATAGGACGATAATCAAATGAGAACTACAAAAAGGTTATAAGCTCGTGATAAACGATATAAAAATATTTTTATATGATTTTTAATTAAAAACTATGATTTAAGATATTTTTTCACATATGTTTGTGTTCACTTTATTAAAAAAAATTATATGTGAAACTATTTTTTTCGTTTCAATCGGTGAAACGAAAATTCTACATCAAAAATATTCACATGGTGAAACAAATACATTTTAAACTATCACATTATGAAACAATATCTTGAATCATAGCACTTGATGAAAAAAAATCATGTAAAACATTATTTTAGAATATATGTATATATATATATATAGAGAGAGAGAGAGAGAGAGAGAGAGAGAGAGGTTGGTTCAAATACTAACCCATTTTTTTGTGTTAACTATGTTAACCAACATCAACCAATCATATTCCATCTTTTAGTTAGATTCAAATGTAACTCACATATTAAGTGTAAGGGTATTTAGGTAATCTGTCATTTTTATGTAACTCCCCAATTTTAATTGGGAGTTACAAATCTTAAAATATCACTAATTGATCTTCATGTAATAATGACTGAAGTTTCACATTTGTTCATCTTACTGATTTTTACGTTTCATTCTTCCTACAACGGTTTTGATATTGTAAATTTCAAAAAAGTCCCTTTTGTAAAGATTTCGTTATAGTCCGAGTAATATGGATAATCATAGAGTAAAACAGATCGACGACAATGGAAGTGAAAAAGATAAAAGCGTCTACGAATACATTCAGAATTCGAATTCCGAATGTGAAGAAAATGATCAAATCGTTCACGCACATGTTCACTCAAACGTCGACATAAGTGTTCACTCGTGCACATATGTGTTCAATTGGTTCACACAATATGTCCATTTGGTTCACACACATGTTTCAATTGTTCATTAGGTTCACACATTGTTTTGATGAAGATTATGAACCTAATTTTTCAATTGTTCATTAGGTTCACATATTGTTCATTAGGTTCACACATTGTTTTGATGAAGATTATGAACCTAATTTTTCAATTGTTCATGAGGTTCACACATTGTTCATTAGGTTCACACACGTGTTTCAATCTTATCTGGATGCCATCACCTGGTAATCCTTCCAAATCCTCCATTGTTTTGATGAAGATTATGAACCTAACTTTTAGTTACTGATTTAAGATATTGATCGATGAGATTGACGGTTTCKTTATTGATTGGAAGTTACAGAATAGGCTGACAAAATAGGATACATTAAGATCATTCACTTTTTACAATTCTACCCTCTGAACCATTGTGAACCTAATTTTTTATTAATATGGTAACTAAATAATTAAATTTTTAGTCTCAATAAATGACAACCGTTGGATGTTCAAATCAACGACCAAGATCGGTTAACAAAATTAACACGATAATCTTGGTTAGTA